GGCTACAACCAAGCCTTCCTCTTCATATCAGGTGCCATCACGGGGTGGGAACAGTCACGTGGCCACAGGCTGAATAGTGACCCCCAACTGCTCTGTTCAGCCTAAGCCCAGAGGGTGGTGTCAGGGGGCGCAGCCTGTGCGAGGTGATGATTCATCAGGTGGCGCCCCCACGTGTGGGGTGGGTGCCCCGAGAGACCCCAGGGAGCTCCCTGCCCCTCCGCCCCATGTAGACACTGCAGGACGCATCTCTGACCCAGGAAGCAGGTCCCCACCCACAGGGAGCCCCGGGCTGTCAGCCCCTGTGCTGTACACACCTCCCCCAGGTTGGCACCCAAGAGGCCAGGCAGGTACCCACACACCAAGCTCTCCCCGGCACCGGGTCTCCATACCGCTCCCCTTCACTCAACCCACTCTCGGGACCTCTCTCCAGTGGCAAGTTGTCCAGGGCCCTGACGACGTCTGCCGGCAGTGACACGCGCCTACCTTCACCGCACGGCCACGGTGGCCGACTGCCAGCCCTCCCCTGGAAGGGAGCCACCCGCAGAGGTGGAGAGGCCCCCAGCAGGGAGGGGTGGCTGAGTGGCCGTCCGACACAGGAGACGGAAGCAGGCGTCAGGGGGTCTCTCAGGAAGCCTTTGTCTCTGCCATCAAAGGAGCAGACGCGTCGGGGACCGCCCTTTCCCTTTGCCGCGGCCTTGAACGGAGACCCAGCAGCGCTGGGGGAAAAAGGCAGGCAGGCCAGGCCAGAGCGAGAGGAAGGCAGGCGGGCCAGGCCAGAGCGAGAGGAGGGCAGGCGGGCCAGGCCAGAGCGAGAGGAGGGCAGGCGGGCCAGGCCAGAGCGAGAGGAGGGCAGGCGGGCCAGGCCAGAGCGAGAGGAGGGGGTGCGAGGGCTGGACAGGGACAGCCAGATGGCATCAGTGCAAGGGACGGCTCGTGAGCGGGGTTCTAATCGCACCAAACGCGCTCCTTGTGTCTCTGGCAACAAACGGCCCAGTCATTCCCGCCCTTGCCACCTTCTGTCACAGTGAAAGTGGACACCGGAAGGTCAAGCTCCCCAAGCACGGTGAGGCCACACAACACCAAGCCCCGCTCGGCAGCACCGGCTGCCTCTGAAGGACAGACCTGCCGCATGATCCAGCAATTCCACTCCTCCGCGTCTACCCACTAATAGGGAAGGATACTTATGCACTAGAAACTTCTTGTAGGCATCTTGTCTACTAATAAGAAAGGAACGTTGCACCCCTATGGTAGCCCAGCTCTGAAGACAACCCGAGCGCCCAAGGTCAGGGCAATGGGCGAAGACGTGGGCTGCATTCACCGTGGAATACTACTCAGCTGTAAAAAAGGTGAATTCCTCCCATCTGCTACAACACGGAGGGACTGGGGGGTGATGCTGAGTGAAGTAAATCAGCAGGATAAAGACAAACACCCAGTGAGTTCACAAATATGTGGACTACACAGACACAAAATAAAGGAACAGACAAAAGTAAACCAAAACAAACCCCAGAGGTCCGACTACAGGACTGAGTCTACGCGTGGGGGAAAGAGCAAAGACGGGAGGTGGTGGAAGGTGATGGGGCCTGGGTGGACACGGTGTGACACACATCTGAGGAGGTGTGAACCAGTCCACCTAAATCACGTCACCTCAGTGAGGATTTCTTCATGACTGGAAATAAAATGACTGAATCCTTTGGACACAGTAGTCAAAGCACAGCCATTTCAGAAGGTTTTTGGTGGTGCTCTGGGGTGTCAGAATGACTCGTGATCTGCCTCTCTACCTCTTCCCAGAGGCCTCCCTCAGCACTGTCAAACTATCGCCAGCCACTGTAGGCTGAGCTCGATCCCCAGCCAGGGAGGTGACCCACAGGGCGCAGCAGACCTCTCATGTCTCACCTGCTGCTCCCCTCAGCAGTGGATTTCAGTAGATCTGTCTGTTCTGCTCCCTACTCTGTCTCTGGTGACTCCTCTCAACTCCTGCACTTCTGCATTAAAAAAAATAATTCTTTAAAAAAAAAAGCACCCGTGCCCATTCGGAGGGCAGGCACACAGCAAGCTCCCAGCAAACCCAGGGCAATGCACGCTGACGACGGACCACGTCATTATTTCTTCCTCAGTCCAGGTGGTTTAAAACTCGCACGGCAAAGCTTCAAGGTCAAGGCCATTTTAAAACTGGCTGCAGCCGGACTTCATTCCATTTTCTGGGCTGGAGTCAGTCCTTTTAGGGGCGGCTTGTGATGCAAAATATACATTTGTCTGTTAGGAATGATATGGGAATATTTGGGATTTTTAGCTGTGTTCAGAAAGGCAGGGAGGGTAGCTCTCGCCCATGAAGACTATAAAAAAAAAAAAACAAAAAAAAACTCTGTCCAAGCACTGGAGCCACGAAGCCAGTGTAGGAACAGGGACAGATTCCAAACACACTAAAACACCTAACTGGCAAAGGTCCTCGTCAACCTGTTCTATCAGCAAGGGCACAATTTACGAGACGGGGAGAAAGCTTTTTTTTCTGTAGGAAGTGACCAGACACGGAAGATTCTGACTTGGGAAATAACAAAATCAGAAAACATCAGTAAACTCCAAAGGAAGAGGTCAATACTCATGTCTCTGGACACCACGAGGAGAGCCCACAGAGCACCCGACCCAGGACCGCCACTTCTCCTGAGTGAGGCCGAGCCAATTTCCCAGCGTAACAGCCAAGCTGAAAGAGTCCCGTCACGCCCGTGGCCTGGTTTCTCCAGACCCCGCCACCACGAAGCTCCCTAGTCGTTCTCTGCTGGCTTTGAGGTTCGTTTTCCAGAGCACTGGTGGGCTGGAGCCATAATGCAGCATGGTTCTTGCCAGCTCTGCCTCCCCATGCCGGCCGCCAGCAACCACTGGTCTTTGAACCATCCCCATAGTGTTGCCGTTTCCAGAATGTTCCATAATTAGAACCGCATACTGTACAGCAGAGGCTTCTGCTACTGGCCGCTCCCACTTAGCACCGTGCACTTAAGTTTCCCCATGACTTCATACGACTTTTTTACTTCTATACAAAGACACTAAACACTCAGAATAGACTGCAGAATAAGATTTCATTTTTCCGGGTGTTCTGGAAGCAGCCTTGTGTCCAGTGGTGGCCGACCGGGTCCAGCGGACGCAGCGTGGCGTGTCCACACAGTGGAGTATCGCACAGCCGTGAGACGCTGAACAGCCACTTCAAGAAATGGAAGGAATTTGTGAGGATTGTAACGCGAGGTCGGTCAGGACGGTACCCACTGGGCGTTCACAAAGAGACAATGTGCTCATGGGAGACACTTTAAAACGCTGCACCTCACAATGGAGGGTGACTGGGCTGTGGTGAAAGGTATGGGGAGACACACGTGTTGTAGCTACGTGAACCTGAACCCCGAGACTGGGACGTCCATCGTTGTTACCTCGGTGAATATAACAATCAACAAGGAAAATCATAAGAACTTAAAAATACCCCAAATTATTAAATCCGTAGGGTTCTGCGGTAAGAGCGGAGGGAGGGGAAAACACCCTGCACCTGTGGCCTACACCCCAGTTCTTGTACGCATAAATAAGCATACATCTTTAACAAAAATGAAATAAATGGAAATGTAATCTGATGTCTAACCACACACACAGCAGTTCTCAGGAAGCTTCTAGGGTTAAAACAGGGCAAGCGTTCGGGGCTCTCCCCGGTGGCACAGCAGTTTACGGCGCAGCACTAAGAAGCTAAAGCCACTTCTGCGTGAGTTCGATCCCTGCCCGTCCCGGAGGTGACCACATGGCGCGGCAGACCTCTCCTGACCCGCCCGCTTCTCCCCTCAGCAGTGGACTTGGTCAATCTGCCTGTTCTGCTCCCCGCTCTGTCTCTGGTGAATCTTCTCGCCGCCCCTGCACCTCTGGCCTGTACCCCAGCTCTGTATGAACAAATAAATACATCGTTTTTTAAAAACTGAAAGTGCTCAACGTGATGTTTCCCTAAGTGAACTCAAACATGGATTCAAAGACAAGTCACACGAGCCGGCCCACGATCAGGCATTGTGGCCTCGGGTTCCAGGCCTCCAGGGTAGGATTTACCCCCGGGACCTGTGGCGGTCAGCTTACTCGGAACCGAACCGGGACCTTTGCACAGGGTTTCACGTCAGGAGGGGCCCGACGTGAGCACGTGGAAGCCCTCCAGTGGCCGGAGACCTCCGGAGAGGAAGAAAATGCACCCCCAGAATGGGGAGGACGTGACGGGCAGATGGAGACAGACGGGGGGGCATGTTAAGCCATGGGGCACCAGGCGGGGGGCAAGAAGGGAAGATGGTCCGGGCCTTCGCAGTGCGTGCTGTACCCTGGCTTCCGGCGCCCAGCCTCCGGAACTGGAGACAATGAGCTTCTGTTTTATGCAACCCAGTTTGTGCCACTTTGTTAAACAGCCTAAGAAAATAATGACCCTCCTCCGGCCGGAAGAACAAGGCTACTGGGGTGAGCAGAAACAGCCTGCCCCGGCCACGGAGATGGGGCCGGGCTCTGCCGGGCCGGGGGTGTGCCGCCCCGCTTGATGGAGGAGCCGCTTGAGAACCCCAAACAGGTGGGGGTCTCAGAAGTGAAGTGGGACATGCCAGGGAGCGGGGAGTCCGGGGGAGCGTGGCTGGCAGCTGCGACAAGCCGGCCGTGACTCCGGGCCAGCCTGGAGGCTGGGGGCGCCGGCCCCGCCACGGGGAATAAAGCGGTAAAGTGAAGTGAGCTGTGGACACCACAGGGCGGTCGCCGGAGGGCTGTGCTGAACGAAACAGCCAGTGCCACGAGGCTCCGGGCCAGCCAGCTCCGTCCATGTCACGCCGGAGGGTCCAGCCCCTGGATGTGTGTGCAGTGTGCCACAGCGGGGCAGCCCGGAGCCCACCGAGTGTGAATCAGTGAGCCTCGGGTGTGGGGAGCAGCCCAGAGGCTTCGGGGTCACTGGCCGAGCAAAGCAGGAGCACCCCACGTCCCGCTGTGCTGGCCAGGGACAACACCGTCCCCCAAACCCCCCGCTCCCGCAAAGGCACACCGCCGTGACGGCTGATTCTGAAACGCGGGAAGTGCGTGTCAGCGATGTGCCTGCTCTCTAGAAGGCAGCTGTCAGCTTGCACAAACAGCCCCCATTCCTCTCGAGCGGGGAGCGGGTCACCCTGTGTCCCTAGTGCGCTCCGCTCCGTGCTATCTTCGCCAGCCCCGGTGCTGACAAACAGGTCGGCCAAGTTCAGGGACATTAACTGCAGGGTGTTGCGTAATGGCAGAGCTGCTTCCGCTTTCCGGTGCTGATTCCATCCTGAACAAGCTATCTGAAGGGGGTGGGAGGAGGAAGGAGACAGGAGACACAGCCCTACGCGCCCCATACTGATTGCAGAAGGTTCTGGAAGGCGGGGCCAATACAGACAAGCTCGAGCCCATGACAAGAGAAAGCACAGCCAGCTGGGACCAGCCCCAGAGGGGCCGGCCCCATGAGCCCTTCACGGAGGTGAGACCACACTGAGCTCTCCAAACCCCAGGGGTGCCTCCCAGCCCAACGGGGTGTCCGGGAACCGTGACCGGGGTGGGGGGAGGCCCCTCACCAACCCTCTCGGGACCCAGGTGGGTGACGGGTCGAGGCCGTGTGTTCCAGGCGGCGGGCGCCTTCCCACGCCCCGGGGGCTGCGCCTCGATGTCCCCACCTGGGCCGCGAAACTGACTCAGGAGGCCAGGAGGCTGGCCAGTGACCCCGAAGCCTGTAGGCTGCTCCCCACACCCCGAGGCTCACTGATTCACACTCGGTGGGCTCCGGGCTGCCCCGCTGTGGCACACTGCACACACATCCAGGGGGCTGGACCCTCCAGCTAGGGCTGACCACTAGCTCCGCTCAGGACGTGAGGGAGAACACAGCTGTGAAGCCAGGGCTGCGCGGTCAGCTGGGACAAGGGTGAAGACACGCAACGTGAACAGAGCCGCCATCCCACTGCAAAAGCCCACCGAGGAAACGGCATTCCCGCCTGGCCGACCAGGGCCCGCACCCCAAGGTCCCCCAGGTGAAGGCCACTCCCCAGCGCCATCTCGTAATGGACGCGAAACCCCAAGCAGCAGGGGCCGAGGGCCTGGCCGCGCGCCCACGTACGAGGAGATCTGTGCCGTGCTGAAGCCAAGACAAGCTCGGAATAAAAAGCGGCCAACAGCCGCGACAAACCACAAGGAGAAAGAGATCAAAGGCGATCTCCCGCCGCCGGGTCACCTTGTCCAAACCGGAAGCCGGCGTGTCCCGGTCCAGGTTCCAGGCATGGGGCCATCCTCCCAGCCCGCTGCCTTCACGCCCTCCAGGGCAGCACAGGGCAACGGGGCCCAGAGCGGCAGGCAGGAGCGCCCCGGGCCTCACCGTGCGGTCACAAGCGAGTCTGGGAAAAGGGCAAGTTCTCCGGAAGGCAGGCCCCGACCGCAGAGCACAGGCTTTGGGGCACCACAGACATCACCACCTGCGCTGACTCTCTGGGGAAGGACCCAATGGGACTTGGGAGGGTAAAAGCCACCAGACTTCCAAAAAGTACCCCAAAACGCCCACACTGGGGCTCAGCGGAGATGGCTGACATGCTGCTGACTCTCAAAAAGGTCAGACCGTCGGCCTCCCGGATGGTGCAAGGGGTGATGTCTCAGCGCTACGCAGCTGTGGCCAGCACGAGTTCCATCCCCAGCCAGGGAGGGATCCCCAGGGCGCGGCAGACCTCTCCCGGCTCCCCGCTGCTCCCCTCAGCAGTGTACTTCGTCAGTCGGCCTGTTCTGCTCCCCACTCTGTCTCTGGTGAGTCCTCTCACCACCCCCCCACCTCTGGCCTACACCCCAGTTCTTGTATGCATGAATAAATAAGTCAATAAGTCTTAAGGGAAAAATCCATACTCAAAAAGGCACATTTATCCTGTGTGTATTTAGCAGTCAAAGGGGTGAAACTAATCTGTGCTGTGAAAATTCAAGATAGCGATTATCTTTTCAAGGAGACTCAAGGGCATCTCCCAGGGCTAGAACGTTTCTTAGAACGTAAACAGGAATGTCTGATTTCTCGATCTGGGTGGCAAGCCACAGAGTTGTTTTTTTCCAGATGCTCTAATCACTTTGCCCAGTGCGAGTTACACCTCAATACAAATAGAGACACATAACTATGTCAGTATAACACGCACATTGCTTGGAAATACAACTCACACAGCACTAGACGGTACGTACTTTTCAGAGAAATCAAGCAGCAGTGAAATCCGGGACAGATGTAGCAGCACCCCTAGAGGAGGTGTTTTGGAAGGGGTCCACCCCCTCCCATGAAGGCTCCGAGTGACAAACTGTTACAGGACAGGGAGAGGGGCACCCCTGAACCCCCAAACCTGCCTGCTCCAAATCGGTTCTGCCATCCGCCGCACCAAGACAAAACACGTAAGGCTTTAATGAAAAGGACCTTTAGGACAGTGAGTATACGACACAGAAGACCAAGAATATAATGGCTATATCAAACACCTGAAGTGGCCCGTCCCCTCGTGGACCAAAGTCCACCCAGAAGGGAGTGGCCCAGAGCAAGGCCTGAAAGCAGCTTCTGGCGGGGACCCATGGAAAAGGGTCAGACGTGGCCAGATGGTCGGAGAGGAGAAGAGCAACATCAAAATCAATATAAACACGGGCACGGTCCCCTCCCCACGGGTCTCTCACCCACATCTGCCTCAGCCAGTCCAGGCCCAGGACACAAGCCCAGTGTCTCCATCACATGCTCCCTGCTCCCTGTGGCTTCCTCAGGTCTCCTTCTGGCTCTCCATGCTGCTTCCTTCTTTTTCCTCTTTTTCTCTGCTCAGCTCCACCCTCCTCCTGGGTGGGGCAGGGAACCTGGAACTTCCCCCTTTCCTAGGGACCACCCTGCTACAAAACAGCACAGACTAGAAAATCCTGATGAGTTCAGACCTCAGGCCTTTCCAGGGCTCTTGCAGATGCTGCCAGATGCTTCCTAGGGCACCCGGATGGAGCCAGAAAAGAGCGTGGGTCTCCGTGTGGCCGTGCAGCCTGGAGAAGGCCTGCCGTGCCGGGGGAAACTTGCAAAAGATGTCTCTGTCCCAGGCCCCACAAGAGCGGGCCCACACCTGAAGCCCAGAAGGAAAAGAGAAATGGACGGGATGGGGGTGGCCTGGGGGACTGAGGCTGTCAGTCAAGAGCTCCGATAGAGCCCCCTCTTGCCAAGGGGGGGGCTCGGGGGAAGGGTGCAGGCACCATGCAGAGGACACGAGAGAGAGACAGAGCTGCCTTCACCCTGCAGGGGAGGCAAGCAGGCATTCCCCAGGCAGGCCAGGGGGCTTTCTCCTGGAAACCAAAGGACCAGACCGAAAGCTGCTGGCTCCCCCCACCTCTCATTTCGGGGCGAGGGCGGGAGCCCTGGAAGTCCCTGATCCTCAGCCTCTGTGCCCGTAGCGAGGCCCCAGCCCGAGCCCAGACGGGAGGTGCGCAGGATCTCGACGTACTGAGCAGCCGAAGTCGACGACGTGTGCCCCAAAGGGGGCCCTCTTGAGGACCCCAGGACAGGGTATGTCTGCGGTCACGCAAAGGCAAATACTTCTCAGCGATCACTCAGAACCCCGCACAGACCCCAGCATTTAAGTAAAGACACGTGGGTCATTCGCAAGCGGCGGAGGGGATGGCGCCTAGCTGCACTCGCCCTTGCAGGCCGGAGCGGACAGCAGGAATGTCAGGAAGTCATAAATAAGGGAGTGGGAGCCTCGCACCCAGCCGCAGCTTCTCCACAAAGCAGCAAGAAGGTGGGTCACCAGGTCAGGCACACAGACACCAAGCAGCCTCAGGGTGTCTGGACAGAGAAGCCTCCTCCCCGGCCGGCAGGCATGGTCTCTGCGCCCCGGAAGGCACCTGGGGCTAGCTGGTACCCTAAAAACAAGTCGTCACTACAGAAGGCTTCAGTGACAGAGAAGTATGGGGCTCCCATACTTCACTCATACTCCACCACCGCAAGACCAAGCGCCTGGGCCGCGTCCCCAGTTTCGGCCGTGATGGCCGTGGCCTTCCTAGAGAAGCCTCCAACGCAGCTTCAGCGCACAGGACAGTGCACTCGGCATAATTTGACCAAGTTCGCAATCTGTTTGCAGCAGGCCCTGGGCAGGGGTGAAGGCGCAGCACTGTGAGGCTCCCGGCAGCCACTGCGGTCTGAGTGCGATCCCAGGCCAGGGAGGGACCCCGAGGGCACGGCAGACCCCTCCCATCTCCCCTCAGCAGTGGGTCTCAGTAGGTCCGCCCGTTCTGCTCCCCGCTCTGTCTCTGGGGAACCCTGTCATGCCCCCCCACCTCTGGCCTGCACCCCCAGTCTTGTATGCATAAATAAATAAAGCTTTTTTTTTTTTTTTTTTAACAGTAGCAGCAGTAGCAAGTCTGAGCCTTGAGGTTCAAGTTTTGCCTGCGAGGCTGTACTAACAAGAACTCAGGGCAGGAAGGAGAGGCGTGTGGGCTGCAGCCTATAATATGTCTGTGCAAACACTTGCCCTGAGAACAGAGATATTCTTTTCACTTTGGCCATGCAGTGCGGCAAGTGGGCTTAGGAACGGGCCTCCCTGGTGCTGCAAGCGGCTAAGCCTCAGTACTAAGCGCTCCCTGGCCACGGGTGACCCCCCGGGTGTGGCAGACCTCTCCTGCCTGTCCACCACTCCCCGCAGCAGTGGCTTGCAGTCCATCTGCCCGTTCTGCTCCCCACTCTGCCTCTGGAGAATCTTTTCATCCCCTGCACGTCTGGCCTGTACCCCAGTTCTTATGTGCACAAACAATCTTAAAAAAGAAAGAAAGAAAGAAAGAAACAGGGCGCTGAGTAAAAGACGTGCCAGGTCTGGAGATCCGGGGCTCTCTCGTCAAATGCACACTGCAATTGCAATTCCTGAAACGCTGCCGGCGGCCTCCAGCCTGGTGACGCTACGTGACGCGGTGGGAAGCAGGTCTCGTCGGGACTGCGAAAGCCCAGGGTAGGGCCAGTTTAGCGGCCGCGGCACCCGAGGTGAGCAGCTGGATGCGGAGGGACACAGCCCCTCTCCCTGATGCAGGAGTCTCCTCCCTGGGGCCCGCGCGGGGCAAGCCTCACCCCGGCTCTCCTTGCAACACCCGGCCACTCAGGGACACCTGGCAGCACCGACCTCAGCCCGTGGCGTCATCTGAGTGACAGCTGGGACACAGAGGAGACCCGCTGTCACCCCCATGGGTGCAAAACTGTAGACACAGCGGCCCAGCGAGGCCGCCGGCAGCTGGGTGCTGGGCGGGTGGGAGTGACCTGACAAGGAAGAGGTGGGAGGACCCGCGTGGGGCCCTGGCCCCGGGGCCCCTCATTGTGGCCACGGTTTCGGGGGGCATCAAGCCCTCCCGGCGGCACGCCTCAGGCCCCGCCTTTGAGGTTCCTCTCTGAGAGCCAGGTGGAGGCCTGGGCGGGGTCTCGGCACTGCTGTGGGGGGCTGGGAGCTTCCAGAAGCAGGCTGCAAACACACGCTGCCCTGAGCGCTTCCTGGAGGCCCGGGAGCGGCCGCGGCACCTCAGGACAAGCCAGATTAGCGAGCAGGGCGGGCTTCTGGCTGGATTCCAGACCAGGTAGGGAAGTGCAGTGAGAGAGAAGGTCTCGGCACTGGCTGGCGCTCAGTGCGCTCAAGGTGGCTGTCCCCATGCTAGGACCCACCGGGACTTTTATTTCAGTCTGGACGAGGATCAACCGCCCACGGCTGTTTGCCTGCATCCTCGGCGGAGAGGGCAGCGGCGGCCGGGCCGGGCCAGGGCAGGCGGGCCAGGGCAGAGGCCGGCTCTGGAGGACCAGCTCGCCACCCACGCGTCCCCACACCGGCAGGCCCAGCGGCTGCCTTGTCCTCCCCAAGGCTTCCCCAGGCCTTCTCCGGGCTCCTTGCTTACCGCGCTCGCTGCAGGGCTGTTTATGCTGGGACTTGCTGTCAACTTTCAGGAAACAGACCTCCTGGGAGAGGCTGCTCCTCGCCCTAGATGACTCATTCCTCTCTCAGCGGTCAAGCCTCACCTGTGGCGGCCGTCAGGCTACAGGGCAGCAGCGGGCCTAACCAGCCTCACCGCCGCCGGGGATGAGAAGCCAGTTCTGGCCAGCTCACTCCCAC